CGACCAAAAGCATTATATGACAAAATACACTGGTTAAAATTCTAAGTTTGTCCAAACAAAAATGCTCTAGGAAAACAAACTTCATTACACGATCGCGTTAAACCGAATTGAAAAGATTAAATTTTGTTCAACACATTGTACAATAAAACTTCTCATAAATACACCCTGGATTTGAAAATTTCTCTAATTTAATAACCTCTCATATAACCTTACATATATTTTACTGCCATATAGCCTGTCGAAAATTTATCTGTATAACGAATATCTAATACTGCAGCATTGCTTTCGTTTTGTAAAAACAGAACAAAATTAAAATACATTCTGCTTTATATAAACAGCATCTGAGTATAATCTGAGAAAAACAATGTAAATGCACAATTAAAATTATGCAAATCTACAAATGTTCCCCAGACAAACATGCGGTATATGACAATGTTTTAAATATGTCATGAATGTCGTCTGTTCAGTTTAACAAATAAAAAAACCATCTGACCAAGGATATAAAACACAACTATAGAAACTACATGGTTGATGTCGGGATGGAGAAGGTTAATCCGGTGAGCGAGAAAGTGTATTTGATTTATCCTGCTTTTTATCATGTTTTTAGAATAATTAAATGATTTCATTCTTCTTTTCCCCGATAAAATAGCATCTATATGCCGTTTTGTTTTGCTGCAAACATGTGCCGTCGTAATGTGACGTAATGATTGGAGATAGATAAATTTATCCGGCAAGGCTTTATCCAGCTGATGATATAGACAGTAGCAGGATAAAATGAAATCTATATATCCGGTTTTACCCATATGTTTTGTTGGACCTCAAGTCCTCAGTTACTTCTTCACACACAAAGCTGTTTAATTTGGAAATAAATATCATTACAGAAGTGAATGACAATACTCATTAATTGGTTGGTAAAAAGATAGCTGATTAAATAATAAAAACAACGAGTACAATTTAAACAGTTGAATTTAATAAACTACCAAATGCATGATATAAATGATTCATAACTGTTAACTAAGTACTCATTTTGTTAACTAAGTACTCATTTTGGTTACAGCTTAATTAGAAATTTAATTATACATATAATTATATATCAATATAATTTAATAGAACAGCAAAGTTTATAAGTCACGAGACGACAATGTACATATAATAACTTAAACCTTAAATCATATTGCGGTTCGAGCAACCAAAGCCTAGGCAGAAAAACACCGTCAACACAAAATGTGTCTATTTACAATAATTTTCCATAAAATCTGCATTGTTTTATTTTCAAGTAATTGAGTGGGTGGGTGAGTGAATGAGTTGGTGAGTTGGTGAGTGAGTGAGTGAGTGAGTGAGTGAGTGAGTGAGTGAGTGAACGAACAAACAAATGAATGATTTCTTACCCTACTTTACTCTTTAGGACTGTTGCTCTGAACACCGTATATATATTTTTGGCCGTATTGACAAATGACTTTCCGGGTACTTTTCACGGATTATGATAAAACCAATCAATCAATACATGTAATGTGTGACGTTAGATTTAAGTTTTAGTTTGAAAGTCGTAAACTATGATAAAAACGTTTTCTGTCTACTGTCGTCAAGGAAGGTTTTATAATGTTAAGATTATAAAATCCGACGCAAAAGTTTTACATGGGAATATTTCTAGATTTTAACTATACATAATCATTTGATTTGGTATAAATATATGGTAAATTATGTGGATTAAGATCAGATACTAGTAATTTACGAAAAAATAGTTAACCTAAAAGCAATAATTTGGATCAAGTTTCGTTTCCCTGTAATTAAACTGCACGTAATGACTTCAAGACCTCTGAGTTCGAAAACTAAAATAGCCGTTGTCGCCATCGACTTCGGGACAACATGCACGGGTTATGCTTATCATCTAAAACAGGATGTCAAAAATGAAAACTATTTTGGATCTATACGCACGGACCAAGCATGGAAAGGGAGTTCTGAAATAGGCCTTCAGGCCCCGACAACAGTTTTAATGGATACAAATAAGAAATTCCATTCTTTTGGGTTTGAAGCTGAGACGAAGTACAAAGCACTGACTGCCACAAATGAGCACAAAGGATGGTACTTTTTCCGGTATTTTAAGATGAAATTGCATCATGAAATTGTAAGTGGACATTTTTATTTCTTCAAAACATGAACATTTGACCATTTAATAATAGGTTTACAAATTAAACAACTGTGGAAAGAATAAATTTACAAGTGTCTGAATACCGAAGAACTTGATAAATAACGTCAAACTTAACAGACCTGTATTCGGTACTAAGGACAAATAAGTGGAAGCCGATAGGTTTATAATCTCTGAACATAAGATACGCAAAAAATTGTGACCGTGCTCAAGATGGTCATGGACTTTTATAGGAATTGTAGCATGAAACTTCTCCGTAATGATCAATTAGTCTTCCATTCATTGACTTAAAATGTAAGTTATGATTTCAATTCGTATAAAAATGTCACGAGTGTGCCTTATTAAATTTACAAGTTGCTGACGGGATATACGGATATTATAGCCTGAAAGAGATAATTATCACCTAAGGCGCTAGCGTCAGTACTTCTATAACGCATTGATTATACAAGTAAAGCAAATCGTTAATGACAAGTTCATATTCAAAGAAGCGTGGGGGAAAAGCACATGAATTCAACGACTACGCTAACGTGGCGCAATAAAAACGAGTGTAAAGTCATCATTGCGATTTTTTGCGGCTATTTCTAAATACTATCATTAGAATCGAGAAATATTTCATAAGGAACAAAACTAAATAAAAATATTTATCCACTCGAATTCGAGAAGTTTTTTTTTGCGTTATTATAAAATGTATATGGTGCAGAAATACAGTACAGAAATGTTTCTATTGTTGTTTTTTGCAAGGAATTGAAGCGTGATATGCTGATTGAAGACAGTGAAGGAAAGTCATATCCAGCTATTAATGTATTTATCGAGGCTATCCGATACATAAAGGTACAGGCTTCTTCACTTTTAAGCACGTTGATACACACAATATTGCAGCCAACATACTTATCTAGTCCGTTTTGAAAGCCGTGTGTGTGTGTGTGTATGTATGTGCGTGTGCGCGTACGTGCGTGTGCGTCTGTGTGTGTGTTGGGGGATAGGCTTACTAAAGATTTCATTTAAATTAAGTTACCTGTCCCTGAATATGTTCATGCTCCTTTTTCCGATAGTACCGTAGCTTACTAAATGATACGTAAAAGAAAAAATTTAACGTTCCATGTGGCAGGCTTAAATTTAGAAGCAAGTTGATATAATTAGTAGACATTTTTTGGTTCTGCTTGAAATATATTGATGTTTATAAGACTTTAATATGAAAAAACTTAAAGAATTATATCATCAAATTCGATTTCTCACTACCATGAAATTTTGGAATCTAGAACATAAATCACTCGTGATTTTAAAACCAAGATTAAAAAGATAAACATAAACATCGATTTCTGAAGACATGTTATTTAAAAGATCTTATTTTTATATATTTAACCACTGTATGGGATATTTATCTATCGATCGTAAAGAAAATCGGTAAATGTCTCTACTTTTCGTTTCTTATATTTAAACCAAGCATCTATATAACATAGGGATGAAGACAAAAAACACGATAATATACTTAATGATATTTAAAGCGAAAAATTGACGGAACTAGACGTAGGAATAAAAAGATAATATCATTGTTTTTATAAAAGAGAAGCCTTGCCGTTAGAATACTTGTTGAATCACGAGAAAAAGTACTGACCGAATAATCAATTGTCGACTTGTATGTATGCAAGGTTGTTTATTCTTCTTATTGAAGTTTTTATCTATTTAACAAAGCCTCTAAATATGCCGAGCAAGCTCAAACAAATAGTACCATATGATACTTACTTTGTAAATTATATTTAAACTTCACAGGAAATAACTTCTTATAACTAGATTCATGAATATCACTTTGTTTGTATGTTTGCAACATGTCGCACTTCTTAACATTTAGTACTTTGCATTGTTAAATAAATTCATTAAATCAATTTGTGTTATAAATCTTTTATAAAATATTATTGAGTGAAAGTGGCTAAATAAATGGACAATTTCAGTAATGCCAATGGTCAGAAATTAGAAAACTGTAAATCATATGTACTTTACCGAGATATATGCGTGCGTTATTGTAAATATATATTCTATTAAAGTCACACGTGATGAAAAAGCTATACAATGTCTTGTCTTTTGGGATAGAAGAGAACGAAATCACGTGGGTGCTCACAGTGCCTGCTATTTGGAGGGAATCTGCGAAACAATTCATGAGGGAAGCAACACATGCGGTAAGATAAGATGTTTTGATATAAGTAAATACCGATTTGATAGCATGTATTCCATGATTAAATAATAAAAAGTTTTAAACTGTGTGTGTCCCTCAAGAAAGCCGTAAAGTACTTTACTTTTCTGAACATATTAGTCTTATCTCGTTTTTACGAGAAATTGATTGTAATTCGTACTTATTTTGATTAAAAAATTTACACCTTAGACTGATATTATTAAATATTGATCGATGATGGTCTGCCGTTTGTGTGCTAGTACTTAGACACTCGTTGTTTGTTCATGATAATGACCCTCAAATATCATAAATATCACTTTATATAACAACTGCTAACCTGTGTATTCTCCGGTTTTCACCCTTTATACTATAACTACGGTTAATAAACGGATTTATTGACACAGGCAATTCGTCTCAAACTTAACTTTGATAAAACTGCGGTTGGGTATAAAACAGACATCGACAAGTTGGCAACACTACTTAAGAAATAATACATAAATTAATCACTTGTAAATTGTTGATTTTGTCTTTAGAAAACTCATTACTTCAACTCGTGCACTCTTCTTATTGTGAAATTTATGATTTTTAGCTCACAACATCAGTATATGTACAATTCGTTTACCATGGTTATAGTTATTCAAAATGTAAAATATCATAAAGCGGAGGCTATGAATATTTATAGGCTGGTATTTCGTATGATAATCTGATGCTTGCACTGGAACCAGAATCAGCCGCAATATTCTGTAAGGAGCAGGCCATACATAAAGCCGACGGTGCCGACGGACCGTTTTTGTCTGCATTTAATCCAGGACAAAGATTTCTAGTAGCTGACCTTGGAGGTAAGAATATTATTGCAACACAGGAATTTGACATCTAATTTAAAGCAATGGTTAGGAATCAAAACAAAAGCAATGGTTAGGAAGCAAAACAAAAGCAATGGTAAGGAAACAAAACGTCAGAGTTCGTCAAAATACATGATCATCCGGTAAAATTCAGGATGCGTTAAAGCTTTCCATCTTATTCGAGGACAATGATTATTAAGCAAAATTGTACCACATTTAACCAACGTTAGGTATGTCATGTCAGGGCAAAAGCTTTTTTTTATTATTTATTATGTTTTTTGCGGATATTGACTTTTGGTGGTAATTAATGTTATTTAATTAATGCAGTCGTTTTGTTAATAAGTTATAAACATTGTTGGAGTCGCTATCTTAATTCCCTTGAATCAGTATATGAACAGAAAATAAATTTTATTACTTGGTTTTAACATTACAAGCTCATTACAATATTGCATATGAACAGCGAAAATACAATATGTCAATAATATTAACAGAGAATTTTCTGGAGTACATCAGATGTTTCAAAAATAAACAAATAACATCAATACATTATCTATTATTAGATGCGGACAAATACAGGTAAAAGAAAAATGGAAGGCATCAGAAATAGATTAAATTTAACATTGCGGTGTCCTAATTCGTGCTCATTAAATTTTGCTAGTATCTGATGAAAATAACCGCCTTTAAAGCGACAATTAACGTATGCTATTGTATACAATAGTAACATTCAGTCATTCTCTTGTACACCGCGAGAAGAAGTACGAACGCATCACGATTGTTAGTCATTGTCATTAATATATTATAGGAGGCACCCTGGATACGACAGTTCATGAAGTATTACCTGACGGATTATTGAAGGAACTACATGCAGCTACAGGTGGTGCCTGGGGAGGTCAAATGGTCAATGCTGCTTTTGAGAATCTATTGCAGGAAATTGTATGTTTTTAATACTTGTTTTGATAGTGTTTCAAAAATAATGTTATCAGATTTCAAGTTTTAAAGACGTTTATGTTAAACAAGAGTGAGATCAATTATAAGAGATACGGATAAAATTCGCCTTCTCCAGAATAGAACCAACTGGAATACAAATACAATGCTGTCACTATTAGCCTATGAAGACGGACTATTTCAATTTGATGCGGATTAGGTTCCGTTTAAGTAAAATTGTGGCTATTGATAGCAGAGAAAAATACTTTTAATTATTAATTGTTTCCCTCCAACTTTCTTAAAACAGGGGCCGCTAATTTTTTCTATCAAGAAAAGCCGCATAAATATGAACCTTAGTAACAGCAACGAAATTAAACATCAGCCAGCCAAAGTGTTAATTAGCTGATTATCGATTATGCAAAGTGGCAGTTCCACGTAACTTGTGACAACAGAAATGATTCGGGTTGAATGAGGGCACAAGTCAACAAATCGATACCTGGTGATATTTTCCAAATAACCTCTTTTATTTCTACCGAAATCCAAAAACTATTTGATGCAAAGCACTCTTGTTCAGTTTCCATGGTACCAGAGAGGTATAAACGTTCCTGTCCGTACAAACATTTTCAATCTTAAAACGACAAAAATAAGATACAGGACTTTTGCAATATATTTAAAATTAGCCTTGCACTCATAAGCAATCAGAAATACATAATCTTTGTATATATATATATATATATATATATATATATATATATATATATATATATATATATATATATATATATACCTTTTAACAGTACAGAACTTTCAATGCAATGAAAAAACTGCGTATTGAAATTCATTAGACCGATATTCCATTGGTACGTGACCGTGTAACGCGACGTAAAGCGTGAACGTAAAAAATCGAACTGATTTTTCACTCTCATGGACGGCATTCGAAGGCGAGGAAGCAAGATAAAGGTCCACTGTCCGAGCTTGAGGTAAATATCCCCTGTATGGTATGATCAGTCGTTTAGTGGTGGTATGTCTCAAAGTTTCTTCTATATTTGAGAAAAAAAAATTGTTTCCCTTCAACTTTCTTAAAACAGGGGCCGCTAATTTTTTATGAAGAAAAGCCGCATATATATGAACCTAATCTCTTTATTCTATTGAGATAATATTCCGTATCCACCATCTATTTCTTCGTTTCTGCTTGCGTGCATGTAGAAATGCAAAACCAACCAAAAGAGACAGAAAAAGCGACCATTCTTCTAACTCTTTAAGACATGTTTTCTTGTCAAATTTCAAACGGAAAAAGACGAAGTACTAGTAATTTGCTTTTTACATATGCTAGACGAGTGTATGGAATATATAGTGTGTCCGTGAAATATCAGGCCTTATGTTTACGTTTCACGCTCGCAGTACGTTCACGTCGCACTCACTTATGAATGGAATGTCTATTATCGAACTTAGATGAAATCTTATTTCAGAACGTATAAATAAATTGATAGATTGCAAATAGGGTTGAACTACAAACAGCCATTATATGCAAGAAGTCTGCGCATAATGATCTTTTCAGTTTTTCGCAGCGAAAATATTTAGTTCCTCCTTATCTATTCATTACTATGCCAACTGCTAAATGAACTGTGTTGGTCAAGCAGCGATAATGTATTACTAAAGCGTAGCAATTGGATAGCAAGTCTGCCAATTTGCATAAAACTGTAAGCACTTAAAATGTCTACTCAGAATAATTTGTTTGTTTGTTTGTTTCATTTTACGCCTTTTTCCAACAGTATTTCAGTCATATAGGCCATCGTTCCTGGAGAGTTACACCAGTACTAGACTACCTTCCTCCGCTACTCAGAATAAGAATTGTGCAATGTTTAAGGGTAATTCACATTATTAATATTATCTTTCAGATCGGTTAAGAAGGGAATTGTTTCACACCGAAATTAAACATTAAATCCCGGGTTCATTCCAAAACATTAAGCGTTCCCGATCAAATCAGCGACATTCGGGAGTCAGAACGAAGCTCCTTCTTGTCAAGCCTTTTTAATTCTAAGTAACTTTCAACATTTAAACACGCGTGGGACTTCTGTCTCATTTATAAACTTGCTTTGATTTAATTTCCACGAGAATTTAAAAAATTAAATTTACCATCATATCTCAATAATACATGGGATCGTTTTTTTGTCAGGATATGGTTTTAAAATAAGTTTTATGATCCCTCTGTGTAAAAATGTTAAAGTTGTTTATCAACAGTTAACAGGGACAGGTCAAGCCTAAGACTAGGTTTGACCTCGAAGTGTCTGTGGTTGTGAAAAATTTCAGGTCAAGATATCAATGTTACAAATGTATCTCTAGTTCCAAGTCTAGTGCGATCAAATGTAATAAAAATCACAATAAAAGTATCATGGAAGACCGATTAATGTAATAAAACGACATAAATAAAAATAAAATATTCACACAGAATCAAAATTTCTAGCTGCAATCCCGCATCACAAAAAAAATCGTTGTTCGAATTTCTTGAACAACTTATTAAAACAAATGGAACAAGGAAAAGAGAAACCCGTGCGTTCTTTACTGCTTGAAACAGTTTTAAAATTGGTTTTGATTTATGAAGACGAACCATTGATTTATTACTGGTATCCTTGTGTTGAATTGTGCCACAATTTTATAATGTCATAAGTCACGTCGGCTTGCCACATTAATGACGGGTATAGATTAACTACTTAACGTGTTATCATTCCACTCTATAATGTGTTGGTCTTAATTGTCTGTCATTTAGGTTGGTTCTGAAGTGTTCGAGGAATTTTGCTCGGAAAAGACTAATGGTTGGATTTCACTTCAAAAATGCTTCGAAATCAAGAAAAGAGAGTTCACGACTCACACTGAAATCTCAGACATTGATATTCCAAGGGGTCTGGCAGATATCTATAAGGAAAAAACGAAGTCAGAACTGAGAGGAAAACGTTTTAAAAGAAATATCCAAATACTAAATGACGATATTTTGAGATTGCCCTCGGAAGAAATGATCAGAATGTTTGCATTTGCTACTGGCAAAATTATCGACCATATTGAGCAGCTATTTAAGAAGAAAAACTTGAAAGGTGTATCTTCTATTTTGTTGGTGGGAGGTTTCTCAGAGTCTGAGATTGTAAGTAAATCTATCCGGAATCATTTCAACAGATTGAATGTGCATGCTCCGGGATCGGCGAGCTCCGCTATATTGCAGGGAGCTGTTATGTATGGAATCAATGATAGAATCATAGCCACGAGAGTAAGTCCCTACACATACGGTGTACATACCGTCCGAGTATTTGATAAACACAGACATCCAAAAGAACGAATGGTTCAGTTTAAAATCCAGCAGGTGGTAAGAAATGCCTTTTGTAAACAGATTGAGAAGGGAGAAACTGTCTACGTTGGCGAGGATAAACGTGGGACGTCGTTTACTGTTTTGAATCGAAATAGACCCTCTGTCTTTTGGAAGGTCTATCAGACAGAAGATAATGACCCCATATTTTGTGATGACCTAGGCTGCAGCTGCATTGGTACATTGTCAATACAAATTCCAGAATACATCACGGCCAAAACCATTAAACTGAGAGTCTATATGACTTGTCATGGGACAGAATTACAAGCAACGGCAACTATTAAAGATTATGGAATAACAACTGTTGGGAAATTTAGCTTCCTTGACAAGGATTACCAGTACTCTGGTGACATAATAGAAGACAGTGACTGACCTCTTGTTAATACACTGTATTCACAAACTGACTAGATTCCATTTCAAACGTTTTATTTGTAAAATATGTTTTTGTTACACTGGCTTTCACTGACGTGGCCAGTCTGTCAATATTCTCAAATTGGCAACACATATAGATATTTATTTTCTAAAATCGAGTGGTCATTTATACGTCATTTATAATGTACGTACTTTGGGAGATAAATGCATGAAATGAGATATGTGATTATATTTGTTTCTTTTTCTATCTTTTCATTTTATTTTTTGTTTTGTTTTAAATATTACTTTCCTTAAATTTTAAATAAATCGTAAACGAGATTTACCCATTTTTCATGTTTCTATCAAATATATTTATATTAACATATTGAAGTGGAGCGTGTTATACAATCAGAAATAATAACACGTTAAGTTCATGCGTATTGTTTTGAGGGAAGTGCAATGACGTTCAGTTGGACTTTTGGTTGGACTTGCTGGTGAATATCTATATCATAATGTCGATCTTCTTTAAGTTAGCTGGTACTCTAACAAAGTCTAATTCCACAACCGAATAATATATTAAACATACCCATAAAACGCTCTTACGCCACAGTGTTTAGGGTCTGTTGTAGAATAATTCAAGGTTTGAACGTGCTTTCTAATTTACAACGCAGTAAAAAGTAATGTCTACTTTACACTTTCTAACATGCTTATAGAAAAAACCAACATTGAGCGGAGAAGTTATTTTGCTGAAGTTATTTGGTTTATTGGCGTTACATATGGCGCCATACGACGTGTGAATTTCACTTTTATGCCCTGCAAATATATTATAATAATGGGCTCGGCTACACTGTTTCCTTAATAGGGAATTTATGCTGTGTGCTAGAAGGTATTAATATGTTTGACTTGTTGCATGTCTCAGCATGATCGATTTGAGGTTTATATGGCACACAATCGTTAACAGTTTACATGTACTGTCATTTAAGGTACCCATTTATATTCTGCCATAAAACCTAATCATTTTATATACTGCCATGTTACCTAGCAGTTTATATAATGCCATATAACACGTCGAAAATCTGTTACCTAGCACTTAACAGTATACCTCTAGACAAATAACTACTTTGTATACGCCGTTTAAAAACGGGTCCATTGATAGGAACGCCCCTGATGGGCGGACGGTCTGTAGTCCAATATCGTCCAGAGCATATCTCCTACACACACGGAGGGATTTTAATAATCTACATTAGAAATGTTCACCACAATGAGAAACCGTGTCGCGGGGATGAACCAGGTCTCTAGATTAAAAGTAAAGGTCATACTAAGAGTACTTGTCCGAAGCAAAAGTTACATGCATTGATGGATTTCAATAAAATTTGCACAAATGGTCACCATTGTAAGGCATAGTGTCGGGCGTAAAATTCAGGTCCCTGCAGCCAAGGTCAATGTAACATATAGAGGTCAAAGTTCAGGTAAAAATATTTAGATTTGTATAAGGACCATTTAGTAATCATTTATTTAGGGATTGTAACACAAATGGTCATTATTATTACTAAGGCTGTGAAACTTGTTATTTAGGTCAATATATGCAATGTAAAGGTTACAAAAGAATATGAAGTATACAGAATATCTCCTCGCACCTATATGCACGGAGGGATCCTAATGAAACTTCATAGAAATGTTCAACACTATATGAAGCAATGTCACGTGTATGAACAAGGTCTCTAGGTTAAAGGTTAATGTCAAATTAGAGGTAATTGAAAAATGCTTCTTCGTACACATGTCGTAGCAAAACTTCTACATTCATCAGGGAATTTTAATGTAACTTTTGATTCCTTTCTCGGTTACTATTATTTCTTCTAATGTATCATTTTAGTGATAAGCCTGTCCGTGCTCTCCCTTGTGCCCTGTCCTGGTTTTTATTAGGGTCCTCCTGGGCTCCTTGCCACTGGTTCTTGTTGCTGGGTCGTGTGGGGTTGCGTTCATTGAACGCCGCCCTTCCCTTGTTGATCTGGTTTATTATATTTTTAGCAAAAATATTAACTATTGTGAGGCTAAGTATTGCGCGCATAATCCAGGTCCCTGCTAGCAAAGTCAATGTCACATAGAGAGGTCAAAGGTTAGATAAAAACAGAAGATGTGTGCAGGGACTATTTAGTCATCCTTTATTGTTGGATTGTAACACAAATGATACAGGTGTGACACATGTAATTTAGGTTAATATTTGCATGGTCAATGTCACTAAAGACAATAAAATATCCAGATATTGCCAAGAGCATGTCTCTTATATGCATATCTATAATGCCAACATCTCTGTCAAAAGCTTTTGTGATGGGCATATTTTGCGACAATGTTGCCCTTGTTTTATTTTGGCAATAAATATAGTTGATGACAATAATCATAAATTGGTTGGAAAAATGCTATTGATACTTAACAAGTATTTAATGACACAACAACAAGTAAAATTTAAACAGTTTAATTAAAAAATACAGTCACATATATGATATCAATAACGCATCACTGTCAACTAATAACTCTTATTTTAAAGCTAGTTTAAGTATTATAGAATATATATCAATTTATCAAAGCTTGCAAAGATATTTTACTTTTACTTTCTACAAATTTAATTAAGTTTGATTGTGCTGGACGCTATAAGTATATTGAAACACTCTTGAATCTGTTCATGCAACCAACCAGTATTAAGCAATATATGTAAAGTTTCTTGCTTGCCCCATCAGGGTTTGAAACCACGCGGTTAGCAATCCTTAGATTATTAGTCCGGCACATGAGACACTGGCCACCCCACCACTATTTTGTTCAGTTCTTACAACATCTTAAAAGTTGTGCTCTTTATTTTGCTACTGATGTATTATACTAGAATATTCCTTAAATTTCTTTAGCATTTTCCTAAATAAAAGTTAAAAGTGACATTATGCTCATGTTTTTCTTAAATATTCATTTCAAAAGATTGACTATTATTTTATGGTCATTCACCAAAAATAAATAATATAAATGGTTTGGATAAGTATTAAACGGCCTTAAATATAAAAAGACTGCCCAAATCTTTTTATCATTTGAACGTTACAGATACATAGTGAATGATATTTATAGAATTTTCCACGAGTCACATGGGTTATTGCCCTTTTTTCATAGCAGAATACAAAATTATTAACTGCTATGGCAAAATGTAAAGATTAATTTACTTTTACCTGTACACTCACCATTTATGCTTACATGGACATAATGTCATTTAAATATGTTATTTATAAAATTAACGTGAAAATTATCATTGCATTTAGCGGGAACCAAAAATATTTTTGGTACCAATTGTTATTTTATAGGAAATGTGATAATAACTGTGATGTTTAACGTAAAGACTCTTCATTACTAAATAATCAAAAGTTTATACAAATAAACAGACAAAAGTAATTTAAAACAGAAAATAAATAAGTTTAAAAAGAAATTTACACACAAACAACTCCTGAACAAATTGCATTTAAGCTCTTTTAAAAAATGATGCCACATGCTCTTGATGCAGAAATAGTTGATTTAATGCATAGAATATAATGCTTCGTTAAAATAATAATAATCGGAAAAGGTTCAATAAATAATCTACTGAAAAGTATAGTGCAGTATTTAATGGCAGTATATGTTCTATTATAAAAATTTAAAAGAAAAAAAATCATAATCAGTTTGTATCACAAAAACATGACCATTGAAGAAGGACGAAAGGTTGTTGACAACAAAACTAATTTCATCTAAAGGTATAATTCAAATATCATTGTTTCATCTATATTAATGAACAAATAAATCTATAACTAACATATTAAAACATTACAATGTAATAAGATTACATAAACTCAAAAACTAGTATTGATTAAATTTTCAATTTTTGATTCATTTTAACCCTTATCTCAATAAATATCTTATCTTATCGTTCAATATCTATGTACTGAATATCTATGACTAACTGAATGGCGGACAAAGAAGACCATGATCCACAGAATTTTACTAAATAGTGTGAACTCAGATCTCAGGTATCTGATTGGTCAGAAACCAGAACGGAATGTATATTGACCAATGAAAATCCTGATATTCGAGACAGATTATAAGATGAGTCATTGCAATTAACCTTGGTCTGCACTGATCGCATTCAGGTGCCCCCAGCAAGGTAAGGATCAAAAGCCAAACAAACATAACACAACAGCAAAACAAAAGCAAAACAAGCCTTTAAGACAACTTCTAGACATGAAACTATCACCTCTTTTCTATAGAGCAACAACTTTTAAGTAGAAGAATAATCCAATCAACTGAATCAGAACAATACAAAATTTTCATTCTTCTAAAGGGACTCCACGAAGGTTTATTGACATGTTTGGACTGGAAATAATTTATCAAGGTTTATGTTCCATGTGATGTAGGTCTAGACCAATAACGTGTGTGCCAAATGTCAGATCATTTGTTCTCTTTTTTCCAGAATTTTTACTGCAAATTTTTTTTTACTCAAATCAGGCTAACAACAGCACAAAAATACGATTTTCAATTTATTTCTGTGTATATATCATTATCATATGCCAATTTTCTTTTAGAAATGCCCCAGCTGATCTATGTAAGAAATTAAAATTAAGTGTTTAGGCTTATAGACCTCAGTGGAGTTCCTTTAAGAAAGTTACAACATTTTATGAAGTTCTGAATATATTTGTGACACCAACACTAACCTCAACTCATAACTCGTACAAGCAAGTGAATGGCTATGAAGCAAATAAATCCATTATGTTCATACACCATCAAATACTAAGTATGTTTTGTCATATTTTAAGGTAAAGCAGCATACCTCCAGATTCATGTTAATTTTCATGAAATTTTTTAAAATGTACTGAAATGTAAAATGTTGTCAAGAGAACAAAGTCAGTAATTTACCCATTTCAAACGCACTTAAAATATATGAACATTACCATCCATTACCATAAATAGGCCAGAATTTGCAAAAAGGTACTGAGTGCGTAGGTCACGTACTAGATGTATGGTGATAAATACTGCAAAATCTATTGTGAATATTTAAAGCTTTTTTTACATCTTAGTACATTTTTTCTCAAGGTTGATTTTCTTGAACAATTTTGGGTCATCTGGAGGCACGCAGCTTATGGGTTCTATTTACACAATCATATATTTTTATAAAGGCAACATTCACATACTAAAATATCTATAAGACACTGAACATATACTTTAAATCAAATTGTTAATGAGCTGAATTGACCTCAGAGAGGCTCTTAAAATGCTCTCAGTATGTCATAAGAACTTGTTTAGTGACAGGAGATATTAATAAATTATAAAATCACTGTCAACATCGAAAAATATTATGAATAAAGATAGTATAAACAAACAAGTGGAAAAAAGGTTTTTTTTCATGAAAGATAATTTATTTCAAACACCCTTAAACGTCAGCAAACTAAATAAGACCTTAAACCTTAAGGTGGCACACTTTTTAGTGTAATACTGTATGTAAGCATCTGTTACAAAGCTGTGTCTATGAGATAAGTTCATAAAGGTTTATGATAGACAAAATGTCCTGCAAGTGTACAAAATAAGTCTTCCTGTAGCCAGTCAGATATTTAACTGGTGTGTGTAATTACATACTATAAACATTTAAAATATTCATTCTTGTTGCATTAATTCCGCAAAATAAATTTCATTATCTTAAACCAAATACTGTAACAACAAAATCTAAACACTTACAAAAAGTCTTGCATCGAATCAAATCAATATAATTTTATTGTATAGATTTTTAATAACATTTTTTTCTTCTTTTAAAATCAATGATAAATAATAATAAACAAAACAATAGTACATTATGTAAATCATCATTTTCTACATATCCTTAGCATCTATATAAAATTGTGTAAATGCAAGTAATATTCTTATCATAGGCAGCAATAATTCAAAACCTTTCACACGAAAAGGAAAACAAGGCAAATAAAAAGGAAGGATTTATGAAATTAATGCCAAAATGGTAGATATTTTATGACCAGTATCAAGATTTAACTATACTTTTACCCAATGTTTAATACTACAATTAAAAATCCATTCACCGGTAACTGCTACAAAACCAGAATTTGGAAAATATTACATATATGTATACAAAGAGTATAATTCTATCAAAATGACCAAAAATCCCCACTGTATATAACAGGTCACTTGAAAACAAACATTCTGTATGAAAGTTTTGATTGAAAACACTTAAGTATTGCAAGAGGAGTTACATAATTAATATGTAAGTTTTTTTCATGTGACCGTCACACTACAGCATCAACTTACAACAAGTGCCCAAATATACTTATATATCAAAATGGTTTTATAGAATTGTGTCCATTTACATTAAAACATTCAGAATCAAATAAATTGGTCATTTAACTGCTACACATAATTATTTCCCCCTTAAAAAATCGTCTACCCTCAAAAACGATTTACAATAATCACATAATATTTACATATTATTTTCAACAAATTAAAATAACTCATGCCACATGGTATCAGGACACTAAATATCTAAATGCAGAACTATGGCAGTGACACTACTATATCTAATAGAACACAAAATATATATTAATACCTTTGGAATTTAGCAGGATATTTTTAATATTAATAACACACAAAAAAGAAACAGTTAAAACAAAATTAAAATTAAAAAAAAAAGAACAATTGTTATATAAAACAGACATGTATCCCCATTCCCCCAATTTACCCACCCAAAAGTACATTATACAAATTGGATACAAGGGTAATAAATAAAAAATATCAATATAAAGAAAAATATGTAATTTTATTCCAGATGTTAACTTTCCCCAACAAAAATATTAAATTACTAAATGGGCAAAAATGCGCAAATATGGTACTTTGTAAGATAAAAAAAATATATATTGAAATAAATACCATAAAAAAAAGTATTGTTTAAAACTAATTATTAAGCCTACCTAACCATGTCTATTCATACTTTTTGTTTAACTAAAGGTTTGAAACTGATTGGACAAATAAGGGGCAATAACTCTGTGTAAACAAAGGTGCAATAACTCTTTAATCTATATTAAAATAAATATTACAAAAAAATAATGTCCTGTAAAAATTGCTTAGTATGCCCCCTATAACCTACTTGACCCAAAGGCTTGATACTAGTAAAAGGGGCAATAACTCTTAGTAAACCTAACATGACAAAAAGGGGCAATAACTCTTTAAAAACCAAGACTGAGTATCATTAACCTGATAAATGAGATCAAAACTGATAAAATTTCAAACTCTGAGTAATTTCAATTCCTAAAAAAATGAAAACAAATATATTTTGTTTTTCATTTAGTTAATATAAAATAAAACCTTTTTTACATTATAACATACAGTCATGGTCAAAATGATTTAATACAGATAATAATAATAATAATTATAATAATAATAACATGCGAGGATTTCATTTAATTGTAGTTTGATTAAAACCATTTTCTTTCACTTCCAGCAACCATACAAATTTGTTTTTTCCGTCAAAGTCAACATCATTTGGTTATATCTTACTTTTGACTGCCTTTTCTGGATAATTTACCAGTAATCCACAATTTCTCTATACAAATTCTGGTTAAAACTGTACTGACCCAAAAGCTAATTTGGCCTGTTACCTCAAAAGCTACAGGAAAAACGTTTCCATCTCACATTTGGAAACCTGTATAGGAAGCATTGTTTTTAAGCAAATTTTACAAAATTAAATATTTCAACAAGGCTTTTCAAGACTCATGGGTTATATATTGAAGCATACACAAACAAGCCTTACATAAATGTGTTTTTAGATTTGTGGTTTAAACAGGGAATGTCGCCCTCGAACATATATAAGCAATAGTGCTATAACTCCAGTACATAAAAGAACAGGCAATTGTGCATATTAATATATAAATATGTCATTAATTTGTCAAGCATATCCAATTACACATGAGGCAAACAAGGCAATATATCTTAATATACTACCACAAATAAACAGAAAACAAAACATTAAAGTGGATGGGCCTACAATGTGCACATTTTCCATAAATACTTCAAATATTGTTAAATACAATAGAAACACTATCATTTGAATATTCTTATAAAATATTGCTTAAAAAAGAAAAACGTTGAAAAAGTTCTGTCCAGAACATTTTATTATCTGCAATATAAAAATATGTTATATCAGGTCAGGTATCTCACACTTGCCAACAACTTCCATATATAGTAATTTTTTCATGGGTTTGTTGTTAATGTATGATACTAAATACTATTAAAGTAATTATGATAGACCTTCAATTATAGACCATTTAACTTTAAGTACAATTATATATCCATTATTTGGTAAGCATTTCTATTATACTATACATGTAGGAAAAAGCAACCTATGTTATATACCTAAACATATAGGCTATAATGTTAGTTTTAAGGAATTAGTTTTGTAATTGAGTAATAAAAACAAACTATTTTGCTTTTTATGATGAACATAGTAAACTGCCAAATTTTCATAAAGGAAACTCTGAAAACTTTGAATATATATTATATATTCTACAACCTATCAATGTTTTTACTGATTAATCACTTCACATCAAATCTGTAAAATGGATTAAGCATTGCCAGAAATATTGTTTAAAAAAAACAAAAAAAAAACACAAAAACCTGTGAATAACCAAAATATCATATTCAATAGTAGATGACATAACTATAATATTTGTAAATTTAATAAAAAAAACATACATTGTTACATATTGGATATTTATTCTGGAAAGCTCAAATATTGAAAGACATATGGGGTGGCAAATGGGGTGTTTATGATATGAAGTAGATTTTGTGACAGACTTATTGTGATAGAATACTTCAAAATTTGATCACTTATGTGATACATAACTAAAACAAAATTAAAAATAAAACAATACTTCAGCATTGATGTGTGCTTGTTTACATGATCTATATGGTTAAATAAAAGAACATCATGTGATAATACATTAAATAATCATAGAAATAATTTTTTGTAGAACAATCATCTTACAAACATTATCTGGTTGCTTCAAAAAATTGAGACCCTTCTTTGCTTCCAGTCCACTCCATAGTGTCACCCATATCTCCATTGTCATTCGAATTGTTTTCCAACTCGGCACTTTCTGAAATGGTACCGGATGTGTATTTTCTTCCCTCGGGAATATCCGATGCTGAACTTTTTGACATGCTGGCAACAGAACTGGTAGATATATAGGGGTTTTCACTTGTCGAAGTCCTTGGTGTAATCCCTACTGATTGTGTCGAGCAATATGCTGAGCTATTATTAGAATCTGTATTTCCGGGTAACATTTTATCCGTCTCTTGCGCGTACATATCTGTGAAACTGATATCTTCTCTATATATGGCCGTGATTGGGTCGCCTCCGACAGGTGGCCAGCCAGGTGTTGATACGATCTCTTCCTCTATTGCACTGTACTCAAACTTTAGTGATGGGAACCATCGTTCCTTAAATCGTTTGAATTTCTCTCTGATTACAGCATGATCAAGCAGGAATGTCTGAAACCAACAAAAATTATCATGTTATCATATTTCATCACTAACCTTAATATATAATATGATAACTTACTTTAACATGGTTTATTTTCAGGGGTGGGTAGAGGTAGGGGTTGGGGTGGGGAGGGACCTTTTATCACACAAACATTGTTAAATGTGTCCTTTCTGGGATAGTTGTTTGGTCTTAGAAAAGAACTTCCAGATTGCACCCTTATACATCATTACTATGAACAATGTCATACTTAGGTAAGAGTAAGCAAGCAAGTAGAAACATTTACTTTGTGTTATCTTGCTTCCTTGCACGAATCAAATATGGTCTGAAAAAGTAACAAGATAATAATTTTGACATGACCGACAATTTTTTATATTTAAACTTTATATTTACCTCAAGTATGATAGACAGAGAGCAGTTGATGATGGCTACACCAAAGAACACCAGTCTGTATGTGACACTGGGTGGAGGCTCAAGCTAAAAAGATATAAAATATACATACATTCTCCCAGTGACACAACTTTCCTGTCAACACATGATTACTTCTCTTCAGTTGAGAAAAAAAATCCAAACCAGATAAAGAGAGTAAATCAACTGGTTTAACTAGAACTGCCACTATCATGGCGTGAATACCCCCGCATACCACTTTGTCAGAATCAACAGTGGACATTTAGAGCTCAAGGACAACCTCCCTGCAAAATCTGAGGTTACTAAGCCTGTGCATTGCTAAGTTATGTATTCTACATGCTTCAAATGTGAAAATGTCAAAATCAATACATTGCGGACAGGACATTCTTTAGCAATTGAGAAGAAAAACTTTATTTGTCAAGGTCCCTATGACCTTGACCTTTGACCCAGTGACCTCAAAATCAATAGGGATCACCTTATAGTCATGATCAACATCCATGCCAAATATGAAGACTGTGGGTCAAAGGAATCTTAAGTTAATGGGTGGACAAACTTTTTGAAGTCAAAGTCCTTATGACCTTGACCTTTGATCCAGTGACCTCAAAATCAAAAGGGGTCATCTACAAATCATGATCAACATCCATGCCAAATATGAAGACTGTGGGTCAAAGGAATCTAAAGTGATTGGGCAGACAAACTTTTTGAAGTCAAAGTCCCTGTGACCTTGACCTTTGACCAGGTGACCTCAAAAACAATAGGGGTCATCTACTAACCATGACTAACCTCCATGCCAAATATGAAGACTGTGGGTCAAAGGAATCTTAAGTTATAGGGCGGACAAGCTTTCTGAAGTCAAGGCCCCTGTGACCTTGACCTTTGACCTGGTGACCTCAAAGTCAAAAGGGGTCATCTACTAATCATGAGTAACCTCCATGCCAAATATGAAGACTGTGGGTCAAAGAAATCTTAAGTTATTGGGCGGACAAGCTTTTTGAAGTCAAGGCCCCTGTGACCTTGACCTTTGACCTAAAAATCAATAGGGGTCATCTACTAATCATGACTAGCCTCCATGCCAAATATGAAGACTGTGGGTCAAAGGAATCAAAAGTTATAGGGCGGACAAGCTTTCTGAAGTCAAGGCCCCTGTGACCTTGACCTTTGACCTGGTGACCTCAAAGTCAATAGGGGTCATCTACTAATCATGACTAAGCTCCATGCCAAATATGAAGACTGTGGGTCAAAGAAATTATAAGTTATTGGGCGGACAAGCTTTTTGAAGTCAAGGCCCCTGTGACCTTGACCTTTGACCTGGTGACCTCAAAATCAATAGGGGTCATCTACTTATCATGACTAGCCTCCATGCCAAATATGAAGACTGTGGGTTAAAGGAATCCTAAGTTATTGGGCCGACAAGCTTTTTGAAGTCAAGGCCCCTGTGACCTTGACCTTTGACCTGGTGACCTCAAAATCAATAGGGGTCATCAACTAATCATGACTAACCTCCATGCCAAATATGACGACTCTAGGTCAAAGGAATCTTAAGTTATTGGGCGGACAAGCTTTTTGAAGTCAAGGCCCCTGTGACCTTGACCTTTGACCTAGTGACCTCAAAATCAATAGGTGTCATCTACTAATCATGACTAACCTCCATGCCAAATATGAAGACTAAGGGTCAAAGGAATCTTAAGTTATTGGGCGGACAAGAAAAAACCGACGGACGGACGGCCGGACAGACGGACAAGCTGATTCCAGTATACCCCCCTTACAACTTTGTTGTGCGGGGGTATAATTATACAGTTAGCATGACCAAATTACAAAGATATAACCAACAAAGTATGGTAAAAATTATATACACAACAATGATATATGAAATCTATTTGCTAACATTTTCTTATAAAGAGTTAATCCCCTTCCCTCACCCTGCACCCTTTCCAAATGTCCTCTTGATATTTAAATACACACAGCAAGTTTCTACATTTATATCCATTTAGATAGAGAGTGGAAAGTGGTCAATAAACATACTTAATTTTTTTGTATTGAATACTTTAATGATCACAATTATACCTACAGGATATCACAATTATACCTACAGGATATTCAAGCTTATTTTATAAATATAGGATAAACATTTTCATCGAGTGGTATGAAAATCATCATATTTCACTAACAGCTTCCGCCACTCATGAAATCTTTATTTTCCTATTACAAGATGAAAATGTATCAGTATGTATAGAAAAACTTATATTTTCTGTTTATTATATACTTTTTTCACCTTGCAGTGTGGAAACATCCCCTTTAATTTTGTGAATATCTGAATTTAGAAGAAAGTTGCCTGGCAAGATACAAGTAAAAATATGGAAAATATGTTTCACTGCAGTGAAAAAAAGATTTTTACAGTGAAAACACAGAAAACAAAAAATATGCATTTTATTTCATCAATATTTCTCAATATTATAAAATGATCTCATAACTTGATTGTATCTAAACGTTACAACTTGTTTGAACATACTCCTGGAACTTACAAGGTCCAAGGTTATAAAGATATTTTCAAACAATGTGCACTGACAAATGAAAAATCCCGAGATCCAAGACAAATCTTATAAAATGATTTCATAACCTCAAAGCCTTCTGTATTATAATGAATCATTCTTATGACTCTAGCAGGTTTAAATTCATAGTGCCTGGATTTTTTAAAAAGGGAGACATTCACAAAGCCAGTTCTCCCCTTATGACCTATAAAAAGTGTAACAAATATTTTAACAAAAACTTTACGCTTTTACCTCAAAGAATTCCACCATCCAGTCCAAAGGATACACAGTTAGCCAAAAACTAAAGGCAAAGCACAGCACAATGTTGAGCAAAAACAAATCTGAAATATAAAATAGATCCTTTTTTTTTATATACAATAAAGTCAATGTTACATAATGTACTTAAAATGATATTGTACTAACAATTAATAAACCAAAATATTGAGGGTACTTACACTTCTAGTGTACCTACAATTATAGTGTATTAACAAGTATAGTGTACTTATATTATTTAATGAATAAATACATAGAGTGTACTTACAATAACAGTGCATTGACAATCAGAGTGTACTAACAATCAGTGAGATAAGTCATAAGAGTGGTCTTACTATTACACTGTACTTTCAATTAGAGTGCACATACAAGTGAATGTACTTACACATAGAGTGAACTTACAATTAGAGTGTACTTTCAAGTAGTGTGTAATTTCAAGTAGAGTGTAATTACAATTAAATTGTACTTTCAACTAGAGTGTACTTACAATTAGAGAACATATTTTTCCTATAGGGAGCACCCTTGGAGAAGGCTATGGCAAGACTGATGTACTGAAACACAGATACAGAGAAAACTGCCACGTTCTCATAACTGGCATAATCATACTCCTCCTCATGAACATGTGCTTGAAACCTGTATAGTGAGATTAAGAAATAGTTAATTTAGCTATATTTTAGTTTGTCTGACATGTCTGATGCCACAGAAACACTGAAGGTCGTATGCTCACATATGCATTCTTAAGGACACAAGTTTGGTAAGTGGGCATCTCAGAAGAACTACAGAAAGAAAAAGTTTTATTTAGGTCTTATTTTGTGTAAGTCATGTGGAGTATGGCTTCAGATCCTTACATATGCATTCTTTCAGACATAATTGGACATCTGAGTAGGACTAAAGACTTCCAGTCAGCTACATGGATAGCAATTCTACACAAAAAATATAATGTTCCTGTTGGGATTTGAACCTGTAGTTGTGAGGCAGCAGTGATTTGATGTCAGTGACCTCAATCACAGTATTCAATATTATTTTGAAACGATCTCATTGCTGGCTAAACCATCATCATCTCCCTTATGTTAGTGATTTGAACTATATTATGTAAATTAATCATTCAGTTTTGTCAAATTAATTGTATGAATATTTGATAGCTATCATTTCCTTGTTTTTTTTTTTCACCAATTTGAACATGTATTTTGGGTCATATAACAGTAGTCTATTCACTTCACCAGCTTTCCCTTTAAAACTAACCAGTAATTACCATTTTATCTGCAAGTGACATACTAATAATCTTACATGATTTGTCAAATCCTCTGTGAGAGATGAATGACCACAAGATTCAATGTCCGCAATCAAGCATCACAGACAAATAACTCATTGCCCTTGCGTCAAACCGGTATACCCTAGATTACTAATTCCGTGCTCTCCATACTGAGGTAAGCAGGTAGACACATATATATTAAGATCTTACCATGGTTGTTGCTGGACATTAAGGAAACAGAAAACTTGAGCTGCTATCTGTATCAGTGTCTGTAGTATTAATGACATGATAGGAGCTGGACTTGTCAGTCGTAACTGTGGCGGTTCCTTCACAAGCTTCGGATAAGCTTCTGTTCTTCCGTCTAAAATATTAACATAACATACAATGATCATACTACAGCTTTAATTGAAGTTTGTGCAATTGCGATAGTATTCAAAGAGTTAAAAGAAAATCTACATTAGTTGAATTAATATATTAAACATTTGTTATTTAAGTGATCCATGAAAACGAATACTTACTCTAACAAAGGGGACAGATCCCAAATAATAGTGTATGGTTTAAACTTGACACAGATGCCGTTACACTCATCTGTTTAGTTTAGTCTACAGACCTACTGCCTGACAGCAGGATGGACAGAGTCATGGACAAATCTATATGCATCCCACCCCCTAAATAGTGGGGGCATAAAAAGGTACCAAGATAAAAACATATAATTGGTTCATTCCTTTGTTATGACAGGCCTACAATACTTACATGTTACACTCAGGGTTGTTAGAAGTACCAGGTCAATATACAGGAACTCAAAGTCTGTCAAGTTTGACTGTACCTGAAACACAAATAAGGAATGATTGAGTACTAGCAAAAAAGTAGAGTCTCTCGTATAGTAATTGCTTATCAAAATTTGTTTCTTCTTATTATTCTTAAGTCATTCAGATACTGCTCGACTTACGGGAATTTTTGATAAACATACAGTTTTCATAATTATATAACACTTAACATGTTCAAAACTAGAGATCAGCCATTGTTATGATTTGTATTTGCCAACAGTAAAGAGTCCAGTCACCCTATACCCTTTGTTGCTAATATTTTCTTGTGGCTACCCAATTTTATCATTTTCATATTAAAGCCTTCAAACTTAAAATGTGCAATTCCAAATTCAAAGCAAGATAAAACACAAAGACCATAGCATAAAATTGATATGATAAGGTTTAATCAAGTATTTTTGCATTACTGTTATATTTCATTCATATCAAAATTAAGCAGTATTCAATTTCTGTTCAACCCTCATAACATGCATCTCTTTATTCATTCTTCTTGACAACCTTAAATTTCCATTTAAATACTGAAATTGAAACAAGAATTGGCAAGCAAATTCAATGATTTAAAGGCACATTATGCATCAAAATCCATTTTTATTAAATTCTTTAATAATATCAACCATGTGTTTAATAATGCTTTGATAATGGATTTAGAGCATGTTAGATGTTTAACAGCTGAAGAAAGTAGCACTAAAAAATGCAGAAACGTGTCATATAGTTAGCAAAATATAAACAAAGTAGTATTTTGACTTTCATAAAAAATACTAATTTACTATAATTATACCAATCCCCAACAAAGCAAATGAAGCAAAGATAGTTAATCTATATGGCAAATGAGTATTTTTTGAAAATTGTGACAAGATACCAAAAATTTAAAGTTTTTGTGAAATAAAATGAAAGCATTTCTGAGGCATAATGGGCCTTTAATAAAGTATATGTATCTGACGTATAGTCACTGTTATGAACACCTTACCTTGTATAGAATAAGCACAGAGACAAACTGTGTGAGACTGTAGCATGCCATATATTTAAATATACCAAATGATGTCACAAGAGCTGCTCTACCCTCTCTGTGCAAATTAACAAATATAACTGGGTTAGTTAAAGCTTATGATCCAGAATTTTCCTATTGGTAGACCTTCACCACAAATATAGAACAGAGCCAGCCTGCATTTCCATCTAACCTGACTACACGGTTAACTATAAGGTAGTCACAGAAGAATTTTTATCTTGAAATTTCATATATTGATTGATACCAGATATTTTGAAAATTCATGAAATACAGGACACAAAATAAATTTAGTCAAAACTATAAATGAGTCAAGCACATAATTACTGAATATATTTCTTTTCAATAAAAACAATTTATTTCATTCTGTAAATCTATGTAAGTTTAATATTTTTAATTCATACACATACCTTATAACAGTTGGAACACATTCAATATTGGGATTTTTCGATGTGAAAGGGGAGGCAACTGAGGCTTCAGCTTCCGATAGTGATATCCCTGTATGGGCCATCTTAAGAGCACCACAATCGTTAGCCCCATCTCCGCACATTGCCACAAAATACCTGAAACATTATAGTTCATTAATAGTTTACTTCTGTTTAACATTTGCCAACATAAACAGTTGTCTACATCTTTTTGGTTGGGTTTTAATCATACTGTTGCTGGTAAGGCGACTGACTCTCCAGCTTAAGTGCTGGAGGAAGATCTTTTGTGCCTCTCTTTTCATTTCTTAAGGCATGATTGGGCATTAACGTAGACCCAACGACCTTCTATAAGTTGACTGGATATGTCTTTAGTTAGCAGACTTTATTCGAGAAATAATTATGTTTAGCGAAGGGGCGAGGATTCATATTAAAGTTATTTATGACATAAAAGCAGACAAGTATGTACAGTATATGATATAGTATAAGGAGACATACCCGAGACTTTGTAAAGCTTCTACAAGTTGTGCCTTCTGTTCTGGTGACATCCGTGCAAAAACTACCCCTCTTACTAGGATCTATAAATATAATGTATTTATTTATATAGTAATGATTGTTCCATATTTCACTATATTGTAACTACACTGTAAGTCATTAAACCAACATGTAACTTTTTAATATACAGAAAAAAATGCAATAATTTTGATCCATATCTGAATTTATAAAAGGCTTAAAAATTTTTTTTTTTTCTTTTTATATTTATTTTTCGTCCTTGATTTTTGTTTGATTCTTTCTTCAAAGCATTGACACTAACTACAATCATATCAAATGTCCATTTTAACTTAACAAAGATCTGTTTCAACTTCTTAACCAGAAATTTGTTGATTTTATCTTCAGCCATATTACAACAAGGTTTTAAACCCATATGTCACAACAAGTCTAATTTTACACTAAAAACAGACTGAATTTATTCATGCCCATATTGGTAAATGCTAAATTATTAAAGTTAAATTGTCAAATATTGAAGAAACTAATACCTTTTGTAGTTGTTCTGGGAAATGAAGCCTGATAATCTCCCAAGATTTACCTGACATGGCAAACTTTATATTAGAGTTATCTCCCTCTATCTGTATTCCAGTAGCTTCATTTTCCTAAAATGTACAAAGAGTGAACTTTTACTTGTGTAACATATTAATGAACTGATCGGATTGTTTAGCTTTACATCAATCATATTTCAATTACACGTCCGCAGTTTATTATATAACAAGCATTTCTTGATTCCTGCAATATTTCCAATATAGTTTTACGCCAATTTCATTGAAAGTACAGTTGACTCTCAATTAGTCAAAATCGCTTTACTCAAAATTCCGAGTTAGTCGAAGAATTTCTAAAGTCCCGTCAAATAACCTTCTTTATCTTTGTATTTTAACTCCGCTTAGGTCAAATTTGGACTTAGCGAGACTCCTGTTTACTCGAAAATAAAATTTGGTCCCGTCAATTAAAGTCCAACATTTTTTCATCTCAATTAGTCGAAGTGTTAAAACAGCCGACTGATCAAAGGTCGACGACATCAAGGTGAGATGTTGTCACTCGTGATTCACACTTTTCATGGTAATTTGTATTGTTGGTCATCAGGTATTATTAACACGTCGTAAAAGTGGCTTAAATCGGTTTCAGGACTTAATTGGTTTCAACGGTTAGATAACTAAATTAAGATTTAATTACATTTCTTTGAGAAAGTTGACTCGTGCCAGTCTGACAGGTGTTAGTCAAAGAACAGTCTAGGTATTGATGTGACTTATTGATGTAAATGACATTTGTATAATTAATGTTCCGTCATTACATTAATATGTACTTCCGGTTCACGATAGTTGCTACTTTCGATTTCGTCAGATGATCAATTCACTTCAAATATTAGATAAATTGTTGTTAAAATAAAGGTGTTATTGTGCTTTTATTATCATCATGAATTGTCATGAGTGCTTATTAAAAACATATGCTTTACTGATGAATACTGACATACTTGCATTTATGTCATTGCTACTAATGTTTGTGTTTATGTTTCAATATTGATATACATGTATTAAATTTTGAATGATATATATTTGTTCATTTATAATTTGTAGTTGTAAGTGATTTACCATCATTTCAACGGTATAATATTGCAGCATTGCCGCTATCAACAATAACACACCTACTTCTTTGCAAATTCAATCAGGCACATGTATATACATGTACGAATGTCAACGTAATGGCAGCGGATCCATGTTACTCGAATTCCATTTCTCTCGAAGTAAAATGCCCATTCCTTGGATTTCGATTACCGAGAGCCCCAATTTGTATATTGATCCCAAGTGGGGCCCTTGACTTTTGATTTTTCAAGTGAAAACTTTTAATGCCCTTTTAAATTGGGAAAAAATTTAAAATTTTAAACAGTAAAAATAAATTCATACATTTAGAAAATATACTCTGGACAAATCATGAAGGTGCTTGACAACCACTTTCCCATATAAACCCCATTAACAAGACTATATAGACACCCTGTTTAATTATCTCATTGGCAAAGAGTACTGTGAGTGGGACTGAGATACCTGTCTTGTGGGCAAGGAAACAATTAATTCAATTACTTACATCGTTAAACAAATTTTCTTTAGCAATTTTAGCATTATCATCTTCTAGGACAAACCACATCTGAGGTAAACTCGAGTCTTTAGTTGACACATGAGCCTCTACATGAACTATCTTGTCTGTTAACCCAACCATTTTACAATCATGTGCCACACTGATGGCTGTCAACATATTGTCACCTGTTGTAATAAGAATTAAAGTAGTAAAATATCTAAATGTTAACAGAAATATACAAGGGAAGTAATTGTTAAGAACAAGTATGACTTCTTCCAGTTATCTAAACTAGCTACTGCCAGCAATTAAGTGATGAACTTCAATAAATTTAAGTCAAACTTACTTTTAAAGAGTGACTGTCCTAGTTCAAGTAAACATGCTTGCAAGGTACAGTTTATACAATATGTCCAATATGGAAACTGTACACCAGATATAATAGTAAATGCTATGCAGTTTAAATGGTTGATTTTGTCTTTTTTTTTTTGCAGAAATATAGTTGGATGCATGCATCTTGAGCCGTGTAGTCCTATATGTATAGTGTTTTGAGTTGAGATTTATAATCATTACACGCATTATGCTTCCATTATAAACTTGCATATAAGGAACCAGTCTATTTTTCTGTTCTGACTTTATAGCTTCTCTTCACAACAGAGTGATCAATGTGGTGCACTTAATACAACAAGAGGGCCATGATGGCCCTGAGATCGCTCACCTGTATATATAGGCCCCCCCCCCCCCCCACAACGTTGCAGGGCCAATTTTAACCCAAAAGCTTTTATTTGCACAAACTTGGTAGACACCCATAAGAAGATGTTTCATGCTAAACATCTAAGCTCTAGCTCATTGGGCTTTTTCAAAGAAGATTTTTTTAAAGTTTTTACTATACACATATAGTTAAAAACAATGACACCCCTGGGGCGGGCCAATTTTGACCCCAGGGCTTTTTATTTGAACAAACTTGGTAGACCCCCAATTAGAACATGTTTCATGCTAAATATCTTAGCAAATAGCTCTTTGAGTTTTTTAAAAGAATATTTTTTTTAAGTTTTTACTATATGCATATAGGGAAAAATCAAATGACCCCCCGGGGGCGGGGCCAATTTTGACCCCAGGGCTTTTATTTGAACAAACTTGATAGACACCCATTAGAAACATGTTTTTCATGCTAAATATCTTAGCTCTAGCTCTTTGGATTTTTTTAAAAGAAGACTTTTTTAAGTTTTTACTATATGCATATAGGAAAAATCAATGACCCCCTGGGGCGGGGCCAATTTTGACCCCAGGGCTTTTATTTGAACAAACTTGGTAGAGACACTTATTAGAACATGTTTCATGCTAAATATCTTTGCTCTAACTCTTTGGGTTCTTTAAAAAGAAGACTTTTTAAGTTTTTTACTATATGCATATAGGGAAAATCAATGGCCCCCTGGGGCGGGCCAATTTTGACCCCAGGGCTTTTATTTGAAACAAACTTGGTAGACACCTATTTGAACATGTTTGATGCTCAATATCTTAGCAATAGCTCTTTGAGTTCTTTAAAAGAAGATTTTTTAAGTTTTTACTATATGCATATAGGGAAAAAATCAATGACCCCCCGGGGCGGGGCCAATTTTGACCCCAGGCTAGTTTTTTATTTGAACAAACTTTGATAAATAGACACCCATTAGAACATGTTTTCATGCTAAATATCTTAGCTCTAGCTCTTTGGGTTCTTTAAAAGAAGATTTTTTTAGTTTTTACTATATGCATATAGGGAAAATCAATGACCCCCCTGGGGCGGGCCAATTTTGACCCCAGGGCTTTTATTTGAACAAACTTGGTAGACACTCACTAGAAGATGTTTCATGCCAAATATCTAAGCTCTAGCTCTTATTGTTTTTTAAAAGAAGATATTTAAAGTTTTTTCTTTCGGTTGCCATGGCAACCAGAGTTCTGCATGGAATTAAATTCTTTGAACAATTTTTAAAGGTGACCACCAAAGGAACATTCCTGTGAAGTTTGGATGAAATTGGCTTAGTGGTTTATGAGGAGATGTCATTTAAAGTAAAAGTTTACGGACGGACGACGGACGGACGGACGGCCGGACGCCGGACAAAAAGCGATCACAAAAGCTCACCCTGTCACTTTGTGACAGGTGAGCTAAAAATGTTTCCAAAGTTGTAACTGCAAAAGTTTTTTTCCCTGTGTAGATAAAATGGAAAAACCCACATTTGTAGAGTTCTGGGGTTATCTCTATTATCAGGAGAGATGGGGTAAAATTTTGAAAAACCATAATTTGGTTCTTGATTTTTGGGCAAAAAAGGATTAAAATTTTTGAATTTAAATAATGGGGTTTTGTTCGGGGCTTAAGTTTTATCTCCATATAACAACCCAAAAAGAAAACCCTTAAAAGTTTCAACTTTTTCCTAAAATTTTTCTCCCTTTTGGAAAAAATTGTTAATGGGAAAAATGTTTTTTGGAAAATTAAAAAAAGGGGTGTGGAAACAAATTTTTCCCCTTTTGGTTTGGCTTTCCTTTTCTTTTTTATTTTTTGGAATTGGGTTTTAAGAAACACTGAAGCGGGGAAAAAAATTTGTATGGCAATCTTTTCCCTTTGCCTTTAAAACTACTGTTTTCCCATTTTTTTTTCAATACACACCAACACTTTTATTGATCAAAAAAGGGGGCGACTTTCTAGCTTTCCTTGCTGAGGAAAACATCAGGTATCCTTCAGTTCACTTACTTCATGCATAGGATTAGAACCCAAGAACATTCCATAAGCTACCTGGATAGCTTTTTAACATGGAAAAATTCAAAGTCTCTCTTAATTTATATAATTTGTTACCTATAAACAAACCAAATTCTCCCACTCTCTACTCCAGTCCTCTCCCATTTCAGAGAAACAAAATATTAAGGAAATTAAACAAGGAATTATGAACTCCATAAGACTGTTAGAAAATACAAATACATAGCCATTTAATATGTTAACATTTATAAATGGCTCTTGGAGATGCTTCCCTACAAAAATCATTTAAAGCAGCATGCCTCCAGATTCATGCTTATTTACACGAAATTTTAAAATACATCTTAAATTAAAATATTGTGAAGTGAACAAATAAAGTACTTTACGCTAGGATTGCAAATAGCACTAACATTTCACATATATTGCCAAAAAAAATGGTCAAAATATACAATAACAGTCCTTACTGTGGTAATCACAACACAGTAAAAATGTGGTGAAAAATACTCCAAATACAGTCATTAATCACACATAACATGTAAATTATTACTTATGTTACTTGAATCTTCTTTCTTAAAATCTTTGAACATTTTTCTCAAGCTGACTTTCTTGAAATATTTTGGCTTTTCTGGAGACATGCAGTTTTTAAACCGACCTAAACTTCAAAATGGTAAAAGGTTTAGAATGCAACCATATTACCATTGACAATCATATGACACAAGACTTATATTATTCACTATCTGTCCTCTGCTATGCTGTCAAAAAGGGGGGGGGGGGGGGTAGGGTTTAACACATATTGTAAATATGAATATAAATGTCAACTCCTGTTGAAACTTAAAACTGTATTGATTTTTATCATAATAGTTTCAAATAATAGTACCTTTGAACTCTTTGAACTTTGACATAGTTGTATTTACTGGGAAGTTCCTTCCAGGCAAGGGCAATAACTCTGTAACCATGTTGCGTGTATGATTTTAGCACTTCATGAAAATCACTTGGAACTGAAAAAAGTACAGGTAGTATATACATGTATGTCGATATAAAAACAGAAAGTGTATTTCTTTATGGTAAACTTTAATTCACATCTATTCCTATGGTTACAGTGACATTCCTCCATTTATAACAATTATTACCACCACTTCCCATGACACTTGAGAGTGCTAATAGCCAGGGAAAAAGGCCAACTTTTAACCTCCTATCTGTCCCCAGCATGGTATAGTCTCTGCAGTACTCATATTTAACTATCAAAGTCTGTATAGTATTTAGAGAAAGTGAATCTACCTCTTCATGTATGACTTAGAAATGTCACAAATGTATTAAAATGTTAAAAAGAATAATTTGTATTTTAGCTGATAAAAAAGCAGCTTCTAGTACTTCTTTTATCTTTGTCTTTATATGACATATAAGGAATCAAATCTATGACCTATTACAAATTATTTTGGATTTTTTTTTCTTGTTGTTTTAATCCTGATTTTTCCGCATTTTTGGTTTTATCTTGGTTGTTGATCCTGGACAACTAACAGTGACTGAACTGTGCTCAAGTAAATTCAATGTGACTTACTGCCGTGATCTGGAATGAAATCTACCAACACCACCACTGGACAACTTACCAGTAATTACAAATTTCTCTGCAAGTGACTGACTACATATATCATTTCTTATATAGCAGTCAGAGATAAATGACTATAACGCTCATTTTGCCTCACCTGAGGCAAGAATCCAGTCACAAATGAATTACTATGGGGCTGACAGAAATACAGGGTAGCATCACAGGGACTCCAAGAGCTATATTACCTGTATCAGGCTGACACAATGATGTGATCATCTCTGGTGAACCTTTAGAGAACATCTCAAACTGTGTTCCACCAATCCTCCGCACTATCATCGACATTCTCTGTAGACTAGAGGAAAATGTAAACTGTCGTACAATACCAAGCTGTACACCTGGCTTCTCCTACAATAGATACAAAATTGTTTAATATGAAGCTATAAAAAGAAAAATGGCAATTCTATCAGTTTTTAATAACTTGCTGTAAATGCAGAGATTATTTACAACCACTACATGTACAACTAGTACATTACACAATAGCCTTTTAACTACCATTTTATTTTTGTGTGATTGAAAGTTTGTCTAGTTTTTTTTTACATTATGTCAAAATATATTTGGTCAGACCTGGGCAAAATGTCCATCAAACTGATTTTCCTGGATTACTAACCAGTTATCACCAATTTCTCTGACAACTAATCCCATGAGATTTTTGAATCAGTGGTGTATGACAAATGACTTAGTGTTCCACATAAATTGTCCTGACAAATGTCACCTCATCTGACAATTGAACAAACCACCTCTGAGTAACACATCCAAAAACTATAAAATGCTTAAAAATCAATGACGTCAGAGTTCCCTTTAATCAATCAATGACAGTTTACACAATCTAAATTGTCATATGCACAGTGCTTACAATATTACTTAGTTCCTCTGCAGTCATTGTGTGCTCTATGGAGGAACGTGGGTAAACAATGGTTGGTACGAGCATATCAAACTTGCTGTTATCTTCTCCCGTCTCTTCAAGAACCTGTAATACAAATAAAATACCAATCTCTGTATAACATGATGGGGGAAAAAATGATAAATCCTGACAACCTTTAAGAGAGCACTGGTAGATCTGCAATGTTACAATATTTAATTAGCTTACTTGAAACACTATACCTCTTCCAATGGAATATTAACCATAAAATTGAGCATATCTTACCTTAATCATACAAACTACCTTTACCTTGCTAAACAAACTTACCCATTCTGATCAATCTGGAGTCGACTATATTACTATTATTATTAAATCATTCATTATATTTAGGGTAATATCCAAAATTAAAGTACAGACTGGATAAAAAACAGTGCAGAAAATGCTCAGTGGGCACAACTGGCAGATTGTGGTCTGCACTGGTTTTATTGGTAGAATCTGTTGCTGCAAGCAGGCTAAGAGTTCAGATCAACTAATGTGCATATTAAATTAAATTTATGAGATAGATATATTCTTATTATCCATGGTAGAAAGTAAATAGAGGATATTTGTTTGTTTTGCATGTAAGATTGAAATATAATTTCACTGAGTGAACACCAGATGCAATATTTTCACGAGTGGCGTAGCCACGAGTAAAAATATAATAGCTGGTGTTCACGAATGAAATATATTTCAATCTTATATGTAAAATAAATAAATTTTCTTTTTATTTCATGCTTTTTAAATGATTTTAAGTACTTTTTTACTGATTTTGCTGCGTAACGTCACGCATTCTCCTTTTTGACGTCATCACATCATGACGTCACATAATCAATTTTGAAATATAGGTCTGTTAAATTTCTCTAATTTTGTTACATTTTTAACATGATGTATGATTACATCGACTTTCTTTTCCTAAAGAAGCAAACATTTACGTATGACGGCATTTATTTCCGCCTGTTATTCCATTTAGTTATGATTTTCTTTTCATCCGCATTCAGATATAGTCCGACTACAGTGAAAATTATATTTTATAAATTTCACTAGTGGTTTATCAGAATATAATCATCTGATATATTACAATAAAACACTGGAAAGCATGAAATAAAGATATTTAAAAATTTCTGAAAAATCAAAGTATTTTAGCCATTTTTGTTATAT